ATCTCAATCAAACAATTAAGACAACTCGACACAACGATTTTAACGTGAAAAAACTACAATTGAAGCACCTCCAATTGTGATAAAAAATCACGGGCAATAGCTACAAAACAATCCACTAAGAAGATATAAAGAAATTACACAGGTATACTCTCAATTATCTAGTGAATCCACGCCCAAATTGAACCAACCCCTATGTGCCTTTCCCAGCCCCGTCTTCACCTCGAAATTGTCTTAACGATGAGCCACTGCAGAATCCACCAAAGCTTCTGGCTCGAATTCTTCAGAATCCACTGAATAACAACTCTTTCTTTTGTATAGAATGAACAAACAATCCTTTGATGTATCCTCCTTAAACCATGAATTGAATACTCAATAAAATATCAAAGAAAACAAGCAAAATAATCCCAAATAAAAATCCTAATATCTAAAAAGAAGATCTAGAGGCATAACCTTAGATTTGGAACAACTTACGAATTTATAGAATCTGAAATCGCGAGATCCGCTCGAGCGTGGGAATTGACGCTCGAGCGAGGACTCTATATGACGTGTTCCAAACCAAGATGTACACTCGAGCGGAGAAATGGATGTTCGAGCGTAAAAACACGATACTCAGTATTTTTGCAAACACGCATACTTCTGGAACTCACCATTCTCCGCTCGAGCGGTAGAATGTCCGCTCGAGCGGACAAGCAACTTTGAATATACTTTTGCATTTTGTTTCTGGGGCGCTGTCCCGAACTCGCCAAGGGGCGCTGCCCCTTGGACCCCCGTGAGCTGACCGGGCAGCTCGATCCCCATCATAGTCAGCGAAGTGGCAATCTTAAAAGAATTAAACACCACAAACTTCTCTGCAAAGCACGATTCGGGTTGAATTTGCATCTAATAAACCCATAGTCTCACAAAAATAAAAGTGTGAAAACAAGTACAACTAAAAAAAAATTTATCAAACAAAATTGTCAAAAATAAAAACCTAAGAAACTCTAACAACACTCACTAGTCCACTGTGTGGACAGGAGAAGCCAATTCTTTCCACAAACTCACAGCCACTAATCGATTCTGTACTTCATAAATTAGAATTCTAACATTCCCTTCGCAATAAATTATATATTTTTTTATATATTAAAAAAAATAAAAATAAAAACAAAAACAAAACAGTGTGAAACTTGATTAGGTTTGTTGAAAGTTGGGAATGACTTTGACAAGGGTCGCCGCAAGAGCAACCAGGTTTAGCAAGTGATATCATTTTGGTTGACCACCTTTGCTTCTTTTTCCTTTTTTTTCTCTTTTTTTTTTAAATTGTATTTAAAAATATGAAAAATATTATATTAATAAATAATAACATTACATAAGTAAAATCTTAAAAGGTCATCCTAACTAAATAATAAATAAAAAATAAAAATAAATACGTCAAAAAAATAATTACGAGTCAAGAAAAATTATCGATCTTTTTAAAGATGTGGTCTGAAAAGTAAAATCTGCTTGAAAGCTCGCCGTTCCTATCGACGTCGTCTCCGTCGTTGCTGTCTAACTCTGTCTCTACCACCGCTACCATCAAATATCGATCACTACCAGAAACTACAGTTGAAAAGGAAGTATACTTATAATGGTATGGAAAAATGCTTGAGAGAGTAAAAAACTATTATAAATGTCAAAAATTCAAAATTTTATATCAAAATTTAAAAAGAAAATACTCAAAATTTATACTTCGAACATAAAAAATTAAGATCTATACTCAAAGGCCCTGTTTGTTTTGGGGTGCAATGGATGGGAGGGGATTAGGATGGAGGTAGGGTTATTTTGTGTTGTATTTGTTTGTAAAGTTAGGAAAATGATTAGGATGGAGAAGGGGATTGAGATGGAGGTTGGAAGATGGATTGGGATGGAGAAGGTGGAGGTGGTATTAAAAAAATAGTGAGGGGATTAAAAAAAAATTATTTTTTACACATTGGGAATTTTTTTTTTAAACATTAATGTTTAATTTTTTATATTTTTTATTTATTTTATTATTTATATATAAATAATTTAATAATTTCTACACTAATAATTATCATCAAAATAAATATAATTTTATTTAATTGCTTTATTATCATCCTTTTATTAATAATTTTTTTACTATTAATCTCTTCTATTTTACCTCGGACAATAAACAGGGCTAAACAAAATTAGAAATCCATATTATAGGGTTGTAATCTCCACTTTAAAATTTATAAAGTGATTTACCGACACAACGCCAGAACATCGAAAATTCACAAGCAGGGAAGAGCCACTCCTCCCTCTTGGAGCCTTACCTCTATCCGACCTTTGCTTTAATGAGAGAACAAAGTTGTCAACCTTTTTTTGTTTATTTATTTATTTTGAGAACACACGCAAACATCGAGCAATATATTCTGAGTGTTTTAGGAGTTGTTATTTTAATTTTTTATTATTTTAATAAATTAAAAGTTTTATATTTAGAAAGTTAATTAAATTTTTTTTACAGTTGAACATAATATTTATGAAAGAAAAAATAAAATAACGGAACGAATTACGCTAACAGTCTCTACAATTTAGGAGTTATGTCATTTTAGTCCCTGACTTTTCAATTGCAACACATTTGATCCTGAATTTTGAATCATGTTTCAAATAAGGACAATTGAACATATCATTACTTAATTTCAAGGGCAAAATCTTCAATTTGATAATATATAAACTAGTTTGAAAAATAAATGTCAAAAAAATATTTTGAATTTTTAAAAATTATTTATACCCACAAAAGATAAAATTATATAAAATTAATAAATCTTTTAGACATTTATTTTTTTTTTATCAAATTAATTTTTATTATGTGTTTGGATGATGATGAGTAGTTGTTTTATTTTCATTAAATTAGCTTTTATGTTTTTAATTTTGATATCATTATTAAACATATGCATTGAATCAAAAAATGCAAAACTAAAAACATTTCATATATTATATACCAATTACATATTAAAATTCTAACAACCGCCCATTACATGATCATCATCCAAACACATAATAAAAATTAATTTGATAAAATATATAAATATCTAAAAGATTAATCAATTTTACATAATTTTATCTTTGGTGGATAGAAATAATTTTTAAAAATTCAAAAATATTTTTTTGACATTTATTTTTATCAAATTAGTTTATATTTTATTAAATTAACGATTTTGCCCTTGAAATTAAGCAATAGTATATTCAATTATCCTTATTTAGAACAAAATTTAAAATTCAGGGTTAAATGTGTTACAATTGAAAAGTCATGGACCAAAGTGATACAACTCCAAACTATAAAGACTGATAGTGTAATTCGCCCTAAAATAATTATAAATTTAACATGATATTTTATCTTATTAATTATTTTAATATATTTTATTTTTTATAAATTTTAACATAAAATAAGTTAAAATTTTTCTTCCCAAACCTCCGATTGTAGGTTTTTTTTTGAACTGGACCCAATTATAGTTTGATACAATTTTTCCTGCTGCATTTGATTTGTGTGACTTGGATGTGCAGTATTGATTCTCGTATACTTATTCTGTATGCTACAGAACTTAGTATTAGCTTACATGCTCTATTTTTTTATATTGTTTATGTTTTACCAAACTTTCAATTAATTGAAGACTGAAGTTATATCATCCATACATATTTACATTTTATTAGTCAAAATAACTTCAATTGTTTAATATATATATATATATATATATATTAAAACCAAAACAGTCTCATTTCAAAATCTAAAAAATGTATTAATTATAAGTTACCAAAAAAGTTATCCAAATTTTTATCAAAAAATACATATATATTAATTGCCAAGAAAATAAATGTATGGTGTAGATGAAGACTTGATATATTGTGTCCCACACTTATAATGAATCTCATCCATTTAATTTAAATTTTGAATAAATTTCGCGGTTTGTAGTGTGTTTAATAACGGTTAGAGCCCACACGCTGATGTGACAATCTTTTGATAAACTTTGGGACAATTTTTCAAGCATAGTAAATAGAATTACTCATGTTGTTAAAAATATATATATCTCATATTTATTGATAGAAGTTACTTCTACCAAAAAAACAAAGAATTATTCATTCATATACATTCTATATCCACAAGTCCAAATCTCATTTTGCAGACCCATAAGTACAAGAAGCTAGTTGTGTACAAGATAAAAAGGTAAGAGTAAATTACATTATTAATCCTCTAGTTTGAGTGAAATTTCATTTTAGTCAGTCTAGTTTTAATTTCATCAATTTAAGCCTACGCTTTCAATTGCATTTCAATCTGGCCCTTTGTTAATTGCTGTTAGCTTTTAAAATATTTTTTTTACAATTTTTTTACTTTTTAAGTGTATGTTAGGTGTGCCTAAAAAGTAAAAAAAAAAAAATGTTTAAAATATTAAAAAAATTCAGTAAAAACAAAAAAACATAAAAAATAATAAAGTAAAATTTTTTGAAAAATGTTTTTAGAAAAATGGAACCAAATAAACTGAGGAGGTAAGAATAAAAAATAGCCATATGCAAATGGAACTCCCAAAACAAATATTAAAAATAATAATAATCAAGTTATATTAAAAAAAGAAAATTATTATACACCCGGATAAAGAGATTTTTTTTTTCTTCCCATTTCTCCATAATATACAGCAACACAGCATGGAGATAGACTACATCAAACATGTAGCAAGAGGAAGTGGGAATTAAACTGACAGTGGCCCTGTTTGGTAAAACTGTAGGAAAGTGCTTATAACTTATGCTTAAACAGCTTATAGCTTATAACTATAAACATAAGCTGATTTCTGACTTATAAATTAAGCATCTCCTGCCCCACTAAAAGAATAAGCTGATTTCTGACTTCCAAAAAGCTATAAGCTATAAGCTATAAACTAAACCAAACACATCAAAATAGCTTAAATTAAGCTGAAAGCTGAAATAAACAGCTTTTAAGCTGCACCAAACAGAACCAGTGCTTCAAAATTTTAGGATGGTCTTGCTAGAGTGGGTACACAGTAAATAAACGAGTAACATAAATAGTTATACGTTCATAAACTACGCACACTTAGTGAAATATACAACCATTTAAGGCATGCTAATGAGCGCAGTTAGGCACCGTTAAAAAGACCCTTCAAATAAAAAACTTCGTTGTTTTAATGGGAAACAACATTAGCAGCATACAGGTGATGAAAATGTTGTCAATGTCGTTTCCCATCACTAAGGTCTCTCTCTATCACTCACACACACATTCATGTAGGCATCATCCATCAGTTTTCAAAGGAAAAGCTAAAATTTAAAGCACTAATCAACGAAACAAAGACCATCCATTCTATGGTCTAAGCAGAGTGACATTGGGTCCTATAAAAAAAAACTGTATGATCTAACCCCATAATACCATTTTACATAACTGGGGCCAGATCTTCAGCATTTAGGTCAAGTGTATCAAAGTTGCTTAAACAGGACAGATCACTTCAACCTGAAATCTGCAGTGTCTTCTTTTGCTGTCACTTCTTAGGCTTTGATTTGAATATGTTCTCCTTGTAGTATTTCAGTTCTGCTATGCTTTCCTTGATGTCATCCATTGCTCTATGCTTGTTTTGTTTTGAAGGAGCCTTCTTGTTTTCTAATAAACAAGCCATGCCGTTGAACACAAAACAGAAAGTAAATATCAGAAACTACTACAAATTAAGTAGCAGAAAAATGATCTGATTCTGATCACAAGAAAATGCACTGACTACAAGTGCGGATGCGCAGATGTAAATTGATCAACAAGATGAAGAGCTTAATGAATCTGGCCTGAACACCCACTTATCAATAGGAATGGCAACAGGATGGGGATGCCACTCCCTGTCCCCGATCCCCGAAAGTAAAAAAATCTCCGTCCCCGCCCTCGATCCCCAGCGGGGAACCCATCACCAACCCCATCCCCGTCCCCCTAACGGGGATCAGGTTTCCCCGACCCCGAAAAATCCCCGACAAATCTGTTCAATTCAACACACACACACACAAGAACAAAAAAAATAAAATAATCTGTATGTCTAATGATGCATGACAAATCTGTTTAACACACACACACACACAACTACTGTTCAAATTAACAACAATCCAACAACAACAGACAGGTACATATATAACAACTTAAAAAAAAAAATTGTTCATCAATCAACAACAGATATATATAGAGAGAGAGAGAAAAGGGAGGGGGAGCTTCACGATCTGTTCAGATCGGTGGCTTCACCGTCCTAGTCCTGGTCATGGTCCTGGCTTCATGGTCACGGTCCTGGTCCTAGTCCTGTTCAAATCAGTGGCAACGGAGGGCTTCACGGACAGACCACAGTTCACGATCTGTTCAGATCGGTGGTAGTAGTAGTGGATCTAAATGATGTTGATGATGATGAGAGAGATCTGAGTGAGTGAGTGAGGGAGAGAGAGATGAGAGAAGCAGCGTGGCGAGACTCAGAAAAATCTAAGTCAGTGAGTGAGGGAGAGAGAGATGAGAGACGTGAGCGAGGGAGAGAGAAGTGAAAGTGAGAGGAGGTTTGGTTTATATATATATATATAGGGGGTAAAATAGTAATTTTATTTCGGGGATAAACGGGGACGGGCCGGGTACGGGGCTGGGACACTTATCCCCGTCCCTGGCCCGAAACTGATCGGGGATTGATTTTTGAATACTATCCCCGTCCCGTTGGGGATATTTTTTGGAAAAAAAACCGCTTAAATCGGGATTGGGGGGTCGGGTCCCCATCGGGCCAGGTTCAAATTGCCATCCCTAGTTATCAACAAAACAGAACAAAAAAGAGATGAAGAGCTTAGTGAAGTTTCAGGGATGCCTTGATGATGTGGTATTATGTATTCAAATGCAGGAACCAAACAAACAGGATTAATTCACTTGGTATTTAACACGATTTGGAGAATGCTGACATGTTTGAACTGGATAAGAAGAGTAAAAATGTTACCTTTTGGGTACCAACGAAAGCATAGAGCCTTGACACTGCTAACATCAACAAGTACATGAGAGAAAAGACTGGCCAAATCTGGCATATACTTCTGCAAAAAGGAAAATTTGAGAATAGAGCAAAACAACCTTACATGTCAAATTTTATTTATTTGTGTTTTTTTTTTTAAATAAAGGACAAACGACTGCCAGACCATGAAATTGGTTACATCCTAATAATTGTAAAGAGGTTTACTCGCTGCCAAGGAGGTATTTGGAGGCAATCATGCTAATGGGAAAAACGTCAATAAGTAGCAACATTTTCAAAATTCTTCTAACTTAAATCATTTCCAAATCATTTGTTGAAAAAGTCACTAATTTAAAAAAAATGCCAGTTTCCACTTCCTGCAATAACATCAGCACTTTATCTCTTATCACAAAAACAGAGCAATTTGAAGAGCCAAAAAATCCAATTGTTTCCAAATCAGATGGCAGAAGAGCACTAATGTTTAAAACAGATATCATACCATCAACCAAGGAAACACATGGTCATTGAACCAAGGAAATGCATTTACTTCGGCACAAGTGCTCATAACCAGGTTACCAGATATATATATATATCGTGACAAAATTCCTCCTACCTTCAAAAATAGAAAATCCATATAAATTGAATTTCCGGCAAGAAGAGGTGTATGCGTGCCTACATATCTCTTTACAAATTCAATAACCTACAATAAGAAAAAAAAAAACATATCAGAGAATGTTAGATTCAACAAAAGAAATGGAAATCAAGCTGCAAAAGGGTTGTTTATTTATTTATTTATTAAAAAAAAATTAAAAAATAAAAAATAAAAAAGAAAAAAAGAAAAAAAAAAGAAGAAGAAGAAGAAGAAACATAGATAAGGTTATGACATGTAGGTACACAGGAATGAAGCCTTTTTGAAGAACATTTCAGAAAGATGAAGGCAACCAATATTTAGTTAAGATCACACTGTTTCCAGTTTAGTGAGGGCTGAACCTGAAACACAGCATTGACACCTTTTATTTTGAGCTCCTCAGTCAACAGTCCAGAATAAGTTGATTTCAATACGGAAATTTCATGTTTTCCATAATAGTTTACTTTCTTGGGACAGGTTTTTTGGATGCAGAATTGCAGTTGACCAGAATTAGTTCTGCAGGATTATGGAGCTTTAGTCTAAAGCAAAGGATTTATTTCTGAATGCCGAATTGCAGTTGACCAGAATTAGTTCTGCAGGATTATGGAGCTCTAGTCTAAAGCAAAGGATTTATTTCTGAGTTTATTCAGCCATTTGACGGTAAGGGGTGTGGAAAGCAAGTGACGATATAATTAGCTGTGTAGTTCTCATAATCTCAAAATCCTTAGAATTCAAGCCATCACTTGATTTGGCGTAACCAATAAGGTATATAGCATGGACACTTCTAAAGCAGTATCAGTGTTCAACACCATTTCAGAGACACTCCTCCAAAGCATCTGGATATATATGTCAAAGACTCGCCAATATGTCTCAAATTATCAAACATGGTCAACATATATCATAGAATTTAGTCCATGCATTTATATAGAAAGTGGATGTAGTTATAAGAAAAGTAATGATGAAGAAGATCGTATAGATATATATTATATTATCAAGCATGATCTTCCAAATTGTGGAAATGCTAGTACTTTTATATTTAGATCAATTTCTTTAATTTATTTATATTTAGATTAATTTCTTTAATTTATGAAAAAAAGCATGTCTGCTAAAACTTCTATAAGTTATTATTATACAAATATATAAACAACTGAGTGTTTATCAATAATTAAATATTACAACGTAAATTCATATCTTGCCAGGAAAATATCCTCTCTTTTTTCACAACTGTCATTTCTGATGGATCTCAGACATACTGCTTCCACAAAGTTCAGAATAACAGAATTAAGCAGACCAAATGACATACTCCATTTCTTGGCCCAAAATCAAAATTGGCAAACCTATATATCAAGGTAGTAAGACAATAGTTTCACCAATGCCATAACTTTATCCTGGATTTTAAGTATCCCAGTTTCTAGTTCTTGCATCCTTTCAGGGTTTATACTTTGACTTAGTCAAGGATGTTCTTCTAAGAAGCTCAAACTTTAGTTGGAAAATTCAGACACCAAACTACGGATGTTAGATTCTTTGATCTTATATCAATACATCTGAGTTTTTAAGTAGATCCAGATATTCTCATATTTCTGAGTGATTGAATTATATACACCAAAATATGGATGTAAACAACTTGGGACATAAAGATTGCACGGTATTTAGAGCAAGACCAAAGGAAGAATAAGTTCCACCACTGCAATACAACTCGCATAAATCTATTACAAAGTCTGAGCTCTCTAGAACCATCTATTATATCCTAAAAATAGTCCATCAGCACAGATTATGAACTATAAGCCTTGTCAGAACTACCCCATGAAAAGAAAGGTCAGCGACTAATAAGCTTACCTGCTTTTCAGCTTCCTGCTCACTAATCGTACTTTGGAGCACCTTTTCTGTCAACCCTAATTAAACCAAAAAATGTTAAATCTTATATGAGCCTTGCCAAGGCAATAAGAACAATGTTAAATGCACCTATGACAAACAAAGAGAATTAAAAGGTGGCGCATAGATAGAATATATCATCCAGGTGACAGCAATATCTCTTGAAGCCTAACATTTGACAAGCAGCTTACCACTTGCTGCATGATGAGTCTGACACCATTCTCCCATTTTGTCCAAACATTCCTTACTTTGATGGATAACCAAATCGGGACCCTAAATAGAAGAAAGTATAACTCAGTTTGCAAGAACAAGAGAATCACTTAAAAGGCTGCTGTTAACAGGTTTTCATGCACCAAACCCTATAACACAGCGAGAGGACAAATCAATGTCCAAGACATGAGAGTTAATTGCTAAAATAAATAAAAACGAGGAAATAGAAATTGGGCGTGTTTATTTTTTACCAGGACTTCACTCAAGGCAGGCATCTGAAGTTTGCTTCAAGTCAGGCTAAAAGAATATCTTACAGAAATGTGCAGCATGAAGTGTTCAAGAACCATATCTCAGAGCACAAATGATTTGTGAATATACTATCGTCTCCTTACGACTCTTAGTTTTTAAGACATGGGCACTAACAATCATAAAATCTCTTTGATTTCAAGATATGTACACAGGTGTTGGATGTCGAGACAGATAAAGATGCCCCTACAAATAAAGACGTGTACTAAACATATAGTTATATGTCCTTTCTTATTGAAGATTTAAAAATTAAAATATAAAATTACTTCTTTATTTATGGAGTTATTAAATATGTGTCATTTGTTTGATTACACAACTACACGATATTGTGTAGGACATATAGTTAACAGATATTTTTTCCCTCAGAAAGGCAACCAACTTCTCACTCAGTTTTTTTTTTTTTCTTCTAAATATTGCAAATCATTATGATTATTATTTGATCAGCGAAAGTCAATGGTTAGTTGTTTAATTAGCATCTCGGGAGAGTTGAAACTTGCACCCATACACCTTGAAATAAAATCGTGCCCTCCCTTTCCAGTCCTAAGAGTGGAACCCAAGACATCCCCCTTAGGAGAGACTTGGTGGCCAAAGGGCTAACCAACTAAGCTAGAGCCCCCTGGTTAATCTTGCAAATCATTATGAACACACAAAACACTCTCATTAGTAGGCACCATTATCTTTGACAAGTGAAAATTATGTACACATGTAGATCAATTCATGACTGTTTCAATTTATACCAATTTCACTAAAGCCTTCAGAAGAAATAATGACCTTCACCATGATCAATATCTTTAATAAATAAAGATGGAGAGATCTGAAAGCTTGGGAATGGCAACGTACAGAAATAAACAATAAAAGGAGGATAATAAATCAATAAACAATATGTAATAAAAAACAGAACTGGCCAATCACCAATTCTGGGGAATCACAGTAAATCCTGAGAGAAGAGATAAAATTACCTCAATTAATTTGGTCAAATTGCCATCTGTAATTACACAAGCAATCTCCAGTATTCTATCAACTTCCACATTTAGACCTGCATAGGCAACAAAAGTAAAAGAATTTCCCACGCAAATACCATCACAAAGACCTCGGTAGAATGAGCCTAGGCTTTGCACGACTATATCGTAGCAATTTCAGGCAATACACTGCCCTTCATTCAATTGACATGTTTTGCGTAATGTACAAATAAATATTCCATATAAAATTGCGATTGCTCTGTGTCCGGCCTAGGCCAAAGGACCAAGGTCCATTTTAATTATCTATAACTAATACCTACCAGTCATTTCCAAATCAATCCACGCAAGGGGCATCTTGTACTCTCCTGAAACCTTTTCTATGCTTTGTTGACCGCCATTCTCATCCTTTGAGAGGGTCATGTCTCCTGGGCTGTCAGCTTTTTTCTTACCCTTACCTGCATTATGAAGATACATCAGTTGGCATCAAATAATCATTTAAAACAGAAATGCGACATTCGCTGGTGAGGAGTTGGGATCAGCTTGGTAAAATTAAAATCCGCAGGAGTCATAGTCCAACCATGTGTCGCAGTTTAACATTTCACAATTGTATGCGGGCAATAGCTATGGGTCTAACTTTTCCATCATGCATCAAAATAATATGCCACCATTCTAACCAAAATGCCTGTTGAAGGTCATGGACAAAAAGTTTTGAAGGAGAGATTCAGCCCTAAAATAATCAACCCCGGATAGAGTTAAGTCAATCAGTTCTAATTCTAAAGAAAAAATAATCACATTAAAAAACATAAAAGAACTTTATAAATATGGCAGACTTAAATATAGTTTAACCTCTTCGATTAGCACTTTCTCTATTGTCAGCAGCTACATCAGTAGCTGTTGGTTCTCTGTCATCTGCAACATCCAATTGAAGCAAAGAAAATGCATTTGCAAGCTGATTCATTTGCTATTTTTCAACATACAACTCCTGTCAAATTGAATGATAATAGAATGTCAATAAATTGAAAGTAAGATTCCTAATCCTATGTGGGATTGATCTCGCGGATCAGATCGATGATTGGATTAAGGATAGTACAATTCTATTTTCTATAAAATAAAACAAAATAAAGGTAAAAATACTGATAAAAATTATGCATATTAAAAATAAGGTGAAAAATCACCAAACCAGCGATTCTACCTACGATCGAACTATGATCCCACACCATCCTACTTGCAATCATACTATAATACCAATTTTACAACGATTTCGATCATTTCACAATTTAGGATCATGTGGTCCTACAATCCATATCGCGGATTTTATAAACTTGTACCTAAGAGAGTAAAGTTAGACCAGCTTAACAGCCCCACAATAACCAAATGGTGACAGATCAATCTCCGCGAGCATTCAACTTTACATTATGACCAATGCAAGCTAGCAGTTCAAAATAAAATTTAAAACAGTGAAAATGGTAGAAGAGTATAAAAATTGGCATGGTAACATTTTCTTTCTAATATAGGCCCCGTTTCTTGTTCACACAAACCCAGTTTAGGTCAATCATAAAATTGGATTGCCCAATACTCTGCTTATAGCCACATATTTTGATAGGTATTGTCACCGTACTGTTGAGTATGTAATTAATTAACCAATTAGAGAACTAGGGTTCTAAATCAAACAAAAGTTCTCACTTACATTCACATAAATAAATAAATTCAGATCCACAACTGGAGTTGATAAATACAGATACAGAAAACACAAACATTGAATTTTATGAATAAATAAATAAATAAAAGAAGATTAAACAAACACCCAATCTGTAACTGTATGCATGCGTATGTATATACCTAAAGAACCCAATAATGCGACTTGAAAGGTCGGTCAGTCAATTTTATACACCTTTCGATTTCAATAAAGTAACATCAAACAAAAGCAACCTAAGTCATCGCATTGATCATTCGAGCGAAGAAATCCCCAAAAAAATAGTGGGGATTGGTATGTGAGTAACAGTAGTAGCAGTAGAGTAGTGAAGTGAAGTTGGAAATCAAAAATGGCAAACAAAAGCAGACAACTTTGTATGGATTCAAGTATTATGTACATACAGTTACAGACGTGTGTATATCAATATAGGGATAGATAGAGAGGATGTGATTGGAAGCGTACCGAGGAGAGTATGAGTGAGAGAGACGAGTGATTTTCTTGGATCCAGAGCGTCTTCGATAGAAGAAGAAAAGGAGAAGGAAATGCCCGCTGAACTGAATGTGTACGGTAGCATCATCGACAATTGACTCGACTTTTAGTTTTGGGGCTTTTTCCAAATTAAGTGAAATTAGGTCTAGTTTTGACGGAATTTTTAAATTAAGTTAAAATGTTATTATAAATCATGTGTTTTATTATTTTTAAGACTCTCTCGCAAAAAATTAGTGAAATAGTAATAGCATAGTTACAAACCACACTTTTAATTAAAAAATCATAGTTACAAACCACGTTTCTAAAGAATTTTTTTTTTTTTTTTTTTCATAGATATTTAAGTAAACCTTATGGAGACGGGAACATTTAAATTTTGTTTCACCCCTACGATTTGGATGATGGAATATTAATTGGGATTTACTCCTAATGTATATTTAACTGTCTAAATTTTGGGGTGTGACAATAGTCAACAAATATTTAAAAGTAAAAAATAAAATTCTATTCACTCTATTTTTTATATATTTTTTTATAAAAAATTAAAAAGTTTTCCTAAATATATTAGTTTTTTATGGATGAAATACCAATCAATCTCAAATAGTGATCTAATAAACTATTTAGTCCTCCATTTTTCCTTATACACCTAAAGTTGACCTTAATTTCATATATAGTTGATTATTATTTACTATTATAAATTATTATTATATATATATATATATATATTTAATATTGATCTTAATTTTATAAAATAAAATTTATATATATTAAATATTATATTGGTTTGGTGCGTGGGGGGTTTGGTGTGTGTGTGAGATGAGTGTTTGTGTGTGTGTGTGTGTGTGTGAGAGAGAGAGAGAGAGAGAGAGGTAGAAGAGCATAAGAAGAGGAGTGAGTGTTGCATTGAAAGCGTGATTCTAAATCACGTTTTTTCAAAAAATTTGTGGTTTGAAACTACATTTTATGAAGAAAAAAAAAATTCTTTAAAAGCGTGATTTGTAACCACACTTTCTTAATTAAAAGCGTGATTTGTAACCACGTTTTTACTATTTCACCAATTTTTCGCGGGAGGGTCCTAAGAACAGTGAAAGTGTGATTTGTAATAGTACTTTAGCCTAGTTTGAGAATTTCGTCCAAACTAAGCCTAATTTGATAATTAAGTTACTAATTTACCTTAATTTGGGAAAAGCCTCTTAATTTTGTGGACACGTTAGCAACCACCCTAATGATATGTCATTATGCCCCTTTTTTCTTTTCTTTTTTCTTTTTTCTTTTTTTTGGCATTATGGCATAAACTATAGTATCAAAATAAAATTATAGTTTGTATAATTAGGGTGATAAAATAATCAAATATTTTTGAGTTTTACCCATACTCAACTTCTTAAAAATTCATTTCAAGCTTAAATTGTTAAGTAAATTGACTAATTTTAAACACATTTTAAAACTTATTAAAATCTTTAAATAAAGGTTAAACAATCAATTGCTCATTCGACAAATTCAAAATTACATAAAAATAATAATCTATTTGAGTTCGTCTTGATAAAAGTTGGTTTGAGACCGATTTAAAAGTTTGTTTAAGACCGGTTTGAAAAGAGTTCGTCCTAATAAAAGTTGGTTTGAGACCGATTTAAAAGTTTGTTTAAGATCGGTTTGAAAATTTGACGCGTTAGCAACCAGCCTAATGATTTGTCATTATGCCCCCCCTTTTCTTTTCTTTTTTCTTTTCCTTTTTTTTTTTTTTTTTTCTTTCTTTTTTTTTTTTTTTTGCATTATGGCATAAATATTAATATAGTATCGAAATAAAATTATAGTTTGTATGATTAGGATGATAAAATAATCTAATATTTTGAGTTTTACCCATATTTAACTTGTTAAAAAATCATTTTGAGCTTAAATTGTTAAGTAAATTGACCAATCTTAAACACATTTTAAAACTTATTAAAATTTTCAAATTAAAATTAAACAATTAATTCGTCATTCGGCAAGTTTAAAACCACCTAAAAATACTAATATATTTGAGTTTGGCTTGACAAAAATTTGTTTGAAATTGGTTTGAAAATTTAACGAATAAAATTTGAATAAATTTTAAAATTCATTAAATTTTTTGAACTAAGGTTTTGGGGTTTTTTTTTTTTTTTTTGGAACATAATTTTAAGAGTTAATTATTCCGCTCGTTTATTACTCTTAAATTTGTACAACTCACCCCACCTAACTTTGCAAAAATTGTAAGGCCTTGTTTGGTTTTTTTTTTTTTTTTGAGAGAATAATTTTGGACAATTTTTTTTAAAACTTTGTTTGGTTTAGTAATTTTGAAAAAAAAATTCTAAAATCATTTTCTCTCTCCTACATATCAATTAATCACTTTTTCTCTCTCTTCTCTCTTTATCAATCACTTCTTCTCTCACACGCATCTACTCAACTATAACAAAATATCAAATTATCCTAAACTCCCATATTTTAAAACTATTTTCAAAATATACAACCAAATAAACTAAAAAAATTTCTAAACTCTCCCTAAATTTTTTTAAAAAAATTATCTTCCAAAATCAAACCAAGCACACCCTAAGTTTTTTACCTTATTTGTAAAGTGGTTACTTTTTTGGGTTTTAATTATTTTAGAAGATTATTTTGCCTCCGTTTGGGAAGTGGGTTGGCTTTTTGGCTTTTTGGCTTTTTTGGCTATTTTAGCCTGGGCTAAAAAGCTTGGTTTGGGAAAGGCTTTTTGGCTTTTTGGTTTTTTGGCTTTTTTTGTGAGAGAAGAATGTAATGATTATAGGTTGGATGTGATGTTTTGTTTGTTATGGCTAAAATAGCCTATTTTATTTTTTGTGGCTAAAATAGCCAAAAAAGCCTGAAAAAGCCCTTGCCAAACGGAGACTTTATTTTTAGCAGTTGAAAAGATGGGTTAAACTTTTTATTCGATTATTGTATTGAAAATGGTATGTGAAATGATGTTGAGATGAGAAATGACAAGATTACCCCTAATGATTGAATGCTTGGTATGACTTTCAAAAACTTTCATGGGCAGAATCATCTTTTCGTGTACCTGGGGGCAGCCCACGCTTACGTGAACCTGTCGCACTTCTTTTTGTCTACATATGCTTTTTTGTTTTTTTTTTGGACTCTTGGCCTGTTTTAACTCCTCAATTCACTTCCTAGACATCGCCATTGACATCGACAATTGACTCTACCTACCCACTCTCTGTGGTATAAATTATGTCAACATTAATAGGGTTGGCACATTTTATATGCGAGTGAAATAATTAAATTGATAATTATAAATTAAAATAGTTAAAGAGAGTCAAAAATTATTGAAAACAATTATAATATGAGCCAACTTCATATAAATCATCATGGCTGTTTGCTTGGCACATACTATATATTCGTGAGTGAAATGATTAAATTGATAATTACAAATTAAAATAGTTAAAGAGAGTAAAAATTATTGAAAACAATTATAATATGAGCCAACTTCATATAAACCATCATGACTATTTCCTTTACAATAATATAGATATAGATATAGATAAATAGATAGATAATTGTAATTTTATAGTCTATGACATTAGCAATTGACTGTACTTAGGTTTTGTTTGGTTCTATTTTGGATTTTATGCTTTCACCCTCATATTCTAACTTTGATTATAATTTTCAAAATATGATTCCAAATCACATTTGAAAACATGCTTAGTAACAGAGATTTTTTGATTTTTTTGGTCTATCCGAACATTCTCCCAGACAGTTTTTCAATTTTTAAGTCTATCCGGTTGTTCGCTCGGACATCCTTCCAGACATCCGTTCGGCCGGTTGACTGAATCAATCCTCCTTTTCTTTTTTTTTTGCAATTACCACTTATTATTTGAAAAAATATATATATATTTATTTTTGATATTTTTTAAATATATAAATTATTATTTTAGACCAAAATGACAAATTATTTGGCCATTTATTTAAAATTAACAAAAATAAATAAATAAAAATTAATTTGTCACAGCCATTTTTAAAAAATTAAACAAAACAATTAAAAAAAATCCAATCAAATATACAATCAAAAATAATTTTAAAGCACTAGCTGAATATTTTTTTAACAAAAAATAATATATTTTTTAAATATCTTAAATAAAAAAAATTGGAATTTTTTGAATTTTTTAAATAAAAAATTTATTTTTTCGGTAATTAATTTTTTGAATTGAATTTTAAAAAGAGTTTGGCTATGAGTTTTGAATACAATTTTCAATAGAGTTTTGAATTGTGTATTTGGTTAAAAGTTATAAGTTTTTAAATTAAGTTATGAAACTCTTTTTTAAACTCATAACTAAACAATTTTTCTTATTTCAAAACCCATTTCAAAAATTCAAAATTCAATTCAAAACTTTTTTTAAAACTCAAAATCAAATAAATTTTATCTTTTCAAATCATAATTCAACAACTCACAAACTCAAAATACAATGGGGGCATTTGGTCTAGCTTTTTTGGACAAACTTATTAACTTTTAGCTTTGAAAAAATAATTTTGGACTATTTGTTTCAACTTTGAAAAAACTACTTTTGCTTCTAAAAGTTTTTTTGAAAGGAAAATAAGTTGAGAATCGGAAGCTGCTCCAGGCAGCTTTTGCAATTGAGATTATGCGGAGGGGTGCGCAATTACTTAAATGCCCTTCACAATTTCCAGTTATTACAAGTGCATCATGTATATAAACCAAAAGCACTCATTCTCTCTCTCTCTCTCTATCTTTCTCTCTCACTCGCTCATATGAACAAAAGAGGCAATTTTCAGTGAACCAGAGCGATTTCCAACGACCAAAGCTCTCTCTCTCTCTCTCTAGTGTTCTCCGATTGCTCACAGTAAGCAATCTGAATCAAAACTTAAACCTTAACCATCGCGATCTCTCTTTTCATGATCGCTCAAAGCGACGAATACGATCTCTCATCTGCGATCTCTCTTCACGATTGACCTGAAAATCCTAGCGCCGCCAGTAACGATCTCAACCTGTAGCCTGACAGTGATGATCGCAATTTCTTCTCTCTCTCCTCCACGATCTCATACTAATTGCAATTATGGCTAGGGTTTGACGATTGATGTTTGCTAGCGGTGGGATGAGGAGGAAGAGAAAAAGG